TTATATTATCCCGCTATTAAAGACTAACGGGTTTTCTTTGGCCAGCGGGCTAGCGCAGTCGATGCTAGTTCAAAGAAAAACACATCACACACGCACACACTTGCTCTGAGTCTTCTCGTTGTACTTAAGAAGCAGCACACTGCCGTTGTCCAGTCGCCCAACTCCTGCGTCCCCCCCGTCGGTTGAACCCTTACCCTTTGATTTAGAAATAGTGTGTGTTTTTTTTTATCCCGCTTCATAAGACAGACGTGTTTTCATTGGTCAGCCGGTTAGCGCGGTCGATGCTAGTATTAAGAAACATACACACACACATGCATAGTACAGCGCCCCCCATGACGCCCCCTCACGGGGGGTCCCAGATCATGGCCTTCAGAAGCATTTCGTGTTTTCAACGGCACTGAGACTGCCGTCTTTCCATTGGTCAGCCGGTGAGGGCGGTGGATGCTAGGAGGACAAAAAAAACACACAAACACACACACACGTGCTGACACGCCCGTTTCTCGCTCGCGCCCCGTTCTCTCTCTCTCTCTCTCTCTGGCGTGGCCCGGTCCGCCACAGCTGGAAGACGCTCGCAAGCAAGTGGCGAGCATCCGCGAGGAGTACCGCAAGTTCAGAGTCAAGTCGGAGCTAGGGAGGAAGCAGCGGGAGGCCGAGATCCGGCAGGTGTCCGCCGAGAGCATCGCCGAGAAGCAGCGGCGCATCTCGGGGCAGGGCGCGGCGGTCGACAAGGAGCAGGTTCACGCGCTGGAGGATGAACTGCAGCGGGTTAGGGACGAGCTCACGGACAAGGAGGAGGTGAGCAGACCGTTGGGTGGGGGGGGGGGGGGGGGGGTACTCATAGTCGTGCATGCCGTAGTCGTTAGACCATTGACCTCGCATCCCTACAAAGCCGGGACGGAGCACGCCGGGGTTTCTCACAGGACCAGGCTCTCACATCACCGAGCGCGAAGCTCCGTGAGGTATTCGGCGAGTCGCATGAAGGGTGCGCTGCATCCTGCTAAGCGTGTTCGGCATCTTGTGCTTACTTCCTTGCGTACGGATGACAGCTGCGTATGACTTAATTTATTTTCTGGTGCTTTCACTCCCAGAGACAGTTGTAAGCACTGTGTAACTGCCTCGAGGGTGCTTGATCAATTTAACACAACGTGGTGCGATTATCCCCCTTGCGCGGAGTGAGGGTTCTCGACCCCGCACAACATGATCTACTCGACCATCATTCATGGTAGCCGCAAAAAAAAAAAAAAGGCGAAAAACCCCCGGCAACCTGGTGGGGGGGGGGGGGGGGGGTAACGATAGTGTCTTGCGCGGTGTTTGTTTTGGGGGGAAAGTTGCTTGGACGTATTAAGATCGACCACCGCAATTTGTGGTGGTTGTTTTGGTCGGTATCGTTACCGTTGTCGTTGTTTCATAGCAAGGTGCATTTCTGTTTCCATCTCTGATTGGTCCACCTCATCGACGACGACATGTGAATACCACCGCCAACCGTATCCCCCCCCCCCCCTCATGTTTCGGCCGTCTCGCATTGAACCGCCCGCTGTTTTTTTTGTTCATTTTTGTCTTTTGGTCCCATCTCGCTTTCGTCCACTGCTGTTGCTGCCTCCTCCTCTTCGCGAGTGCAGAGCTGGAGACAGGCGTACCAGAAACAGGTAAAGGAGACCGAGGTGCTCAAGAGAGAGGGGGGCGACACCGCGCTTGCCGCCCAGTGGCGGCAGCGCTACGAGAAGCTCAGCTTGGAAAAGGTACACGATTTGGCTTGGAGAATGGGTACACACGATTTGGGTTGGAAATGGGTACACACGATTTGGCTTGGAAATGGGTTCACGATTTGGCTTGGAAAAAGGTACACGGTTTTTCTTGGAAATGGGTACACGATTTTGGCTCGAAAAAAGGTACACGAGTTGGCTTGGAAATTGCACACGACTTAGCTTGGAAAAGGTACACGATACACATATTTTCCTCCGCTCCGTAGACGATGTTGACGCGTTTGGAGGGTTGCTCGGAAGAAGGTGTTGCTATCTTCCTAGTACTAGGTTATGTCACTGTGTCGCTGCTGTAGCGCCCCGAGTATTGGCTTGGAGTTGAACCTGATAGGCCAACGTTAGCATCTTATCCAACTTTTCGGCAAATCCCCACCCCTGTTCTATGTCTTGATAGACGTATGTGCCGCTCTAGCCCTTGTTACGTTTGCGTAGACCTGGCGATATCGCTTTTTGGTTGCTTGTGCCGAGAAAGTTCCTCAAGTTATTTTAGTCGCACTCACGCAGGCGAATTGACAATGAGCTGGACGAGACACTTGAACGACAGCCTTACCGTTGTCGTACCCCCATATATATATATTTTTTTTTTTTGGCACAAGGAAAATTCCTATGAAAAAGTGAAGCGTCCTCGTTTCTCCGTCCTCGCAGGAAGATGCCGTAGCGAAACTGGACATGTTAAAGGGCGATGGCGGAAGCGGCTCCGGCGGGGGCAGGGGGGGAGGAGGGGGAGGCCAGGGCGAGGCCGTGGCATCACTGATGAAGAAATACCAGGACCTAAAGGAGGAGTACCGCCTCTACCGAAAGAAAGCCATGCACGCGATACAGGTACATACAAACATGTTTTTTTTTTGTTTTATTCGGCCGTCGATGTATGTTGTGGCTGTACAGCAGCAGTGGTCCCGGTATAATGGCGGTACGGTAGGTGCCAGCCCCTTGAACCGGCCTTATTTCGGGGCAACCGGCATTATTCAGCGTATGAAACAACTTGAATATTCCATCTGCGTCACGCGATTTTCACCGGCATTATACCGGCACCGCTACTGCTGTACATGCCTCGTTTGTGTCTGGAGGTAGGAGGGAGGGAGGCGTGTTTGGTTTCAGCTGCTGTCTTTAGCCGCTTGTGACGTCGCCTGTGGCACGTGTACACTGAACCCCGCCACCACCGTCTCCAGCAGTGCACATTATTTGTCGTCGCTGTATCGGTACCCTTGACGTTGCTTGGCATGATGTACGTGTTGTCGGGGGTTCCGTGTCGCAATTTCGAGAGAGGGCGGGGGGGTCAATCTACTGCTGTGCCCCCACGGAGCTCCCGTGCGCGAGGAAACAGAGTTAGCATGCCTGAGTGGCTTTGGGTCGGAGCCGCTGCTAGCTCGTTGCCCGTAGCCCGGTACTAGGTCTTTTCGTGCGTGCAATGGGTGAAGGAAGGGCGTTCAGAGTGCCTACCTGACGCACGGAACGGAAGGCCAAACAAGGGGGGGGGGGGGGCAGCCTCAATCAGTGAAATCGTAGGTAGACGGACGGTTTTATCGAAACAAAGCCCCGGGTTTTCCAGATCGCCAGACAGATCATTTATGGATGCGCCCCAGGAGAACAAAAGCGCTTCCGACAGATGCGATCGTCAAGAGGTACGATGCGTCGGACTCATAAACCCTTGCCCTACGGTGCAACCACGCTGCACACGTTGCAGGGCGCGGGGGCAGCCGGCGGCGGCGGCGGGGAGGGTTTAGAATTGCAGGACCCCAAGCTTCAGTATCTGAAGAACCTGATGCTCAAGTACCTGGGGACGGATGAGGGGGAGGCCCGCGAGCACATGGAGCGCGCGATCGCGACGGTGCTCCAGTTTTCGGAGCAGGTGCGGAGGCGTGTCTTCCTCTCTTTTCATTTTTTTCGTTGTTATAACAACAAACACATCTCTTCCACAGATAGAGAGTCTGGAATAGGGTAGCACTCCACTACCTTGCTACGCTTGCTGATATGCTCACGCACGCGCATGTATGGTCATTTATTTTTATTTTTATTCCTTATGCATATAACACAACAAGTTCGTATCTTCCACACGTACAGAGTCGCTTTGCTACCTTGCTTGCTACGCTGCCTGATATGCTGACGCACTCGAATACCTGGTCTCTTCTCTTCTCTACCGCCGTCTACTCTGTTGTATGTGCGTCGTACCAGTGCTTGTGCGTGTGGGTGTGTTTTGGCAGGAGAGCAGTAGACTTGGCAGGGTGTTTCGTATTATGTAAACATGTTGGATAAAGCATACAATCGGGGAAGTTGGGTAAGGTAAGGGTTAGGGCATAGGGTCTGCGGCCCCCGTTCCTGTTCTATTTCCTCATAAACTTATTGATCGCGCGACGGCGGTCCCAGGAGAGTCGACCGACCGACGGACAAACCGCGCTCACCGCTCAAGTTTTTTTATTGTTTTGTTCTAGACAGAACCAATCCATCTTCATTCGTGTATGAAAAATGGTCGGACAGAACGGATTGTGAAAAACTGCGGTCTCCCCTGCTGTATGCAGGAAGATTATTTTTTGTGTCAAATCCCTCGATGCATCTTCGTTTATGACGTTCAGCCCCGGTCGTTTCCTCTTGCCATCGATTCGGTCCCCGTCAACTACTCTTGCTCTTGCCGTGTAGGCAGCACGGCAGAGCTTTGCGCCGATGCGCACACCTTCGCGCGCATGCTAACCCTGCTCTCCAGCGAGGTTCCCGTCTCACTTTAGTGTGTGTTTTTCGTAGTTTGCGTCGACTGCGCTAACCACCGTCTGACCAATGAAAAAACGTCAGTCTCAGACGTGGTTTGTGTTTTTGCCCCTCCTCCGCTACACCGGATTTTTTTGTCGTCTTTTCAGGAGCGACAAGACCTGAAGGAAGCAAGACAAGCGCAGACCGTAGCGTGGATGTCGAACTTCACGGGCATGTTCGCAGGGAGCGCCCCGGCAGCGGGGGGGGCGGGGGGCACCCAATCGTCGCCAGCATCACCGGCGGTGGCCGCAGGAGGGGGAGCGAGACGAATGAGCGGCGGCGGCGCAATCGCATGACCATATCTCAGGCCCAATTTTTGTTTTTATTGTGGTGTGTTGCAAGAAAACCTTTTTCATTTTTGACGGAAAAAAAAGTTTGTTTGGGGTCCTGGGTGGAAGCGTCGTCGAAGGAAGGCCCGAGCCCGGACGGCCGCGACAAGCTTGTCACGCCGAGGGTGGTTTTTCGCGGAATTGTTTTGGCGATGCCGCAAGAGAGCATTGTGGGGCTAGTTGGGTAGGGGACACCTTCGTATCATCCCCGGGTTTCGCCTCTTGGTGGTCCTGCCGTGGGTGACCACGTGGAATGGGCCGGACTTACAGCTTATGGTTTTTGATGTGTGAGAGCGCTGCGACTTTTTGTCGTTGAGTGTGTCGCGAGCTTTACTAGGGCTGCGTCTCGAGAAAACTCGATTGGTGAAATGAGACGGGTCTCGCGTGTACGACCCGGACGGGATGAAGCGGGGCGTGCAGGGATAGCCGCGCTTGTGTTTGATCGGACCGTGTTGTACCCAAGACGAGTCCGAGAGATTTAACTTCAAATTGCCTTGAGGTGTCTTTCCAGGTATATACCGCAGACATAATGTTGATAGATGCCTAAGGGCGGAGAGCAACTAACTGCTTCAATATTCACGCGGTATCTACATACGTCCTCCTTCGTATTCGTATCTATGTTTGGTGCGTTCTTGTTAGCCCTTTTTCTGGAAGATTACGAGAAGTTGCTGCGTTTTTAGACCAGTTCAAGCAACGATAGGTGGGGCGGGCAAGCACGAAATGGCCGGCGAGTTCTCTCTTGTAGGTTCACAATGTCTTGGGGCGAAAATAAGATCAGGAAAGAAAGTGAAACCCGTTGTTCTATGATAAGGGATGTGCATGTATGTGTTGCTTTCACGGAGCGCCCGCACGAATCCCCATCCACAAACACCAACCCTTGCATATCAGCGCGCGGAGATATTTTGAGAGTCCGTCCAGCTTACGAGTATCGGGTGAGAGGACAAGAAAACGACACCACAAAGGAGGTGCTCTAGGAAAATGTGTCCCCTACTCGTGTTCAGCAGGAACACGGTTGCACCAAGCTCCAAGATTTCCGGGTTTGGCTTGATCCCACAGAACAAATGTTGCGCCGCTGGTCAGTCCAACAACTATTATTTTCTCCCAGCTGCTGTCTGTCGCCTCACGAAAAACGCGTATATACACAAACCGGGCTGGGCGAAAACATTACTGTATCCCTAAAAAAAACAATTGAAACAACGCTTGGCATTTTCATCGTCGCCCACATCACAGCGTCCCTGTACGGCCGCCGGCTACTCGGTTGGCTCCTGTCAGCGCTTCGTTTTGTTTGCCGGCTCTTGGTTTGGCTGTCTCAAATCTCGGGGTGTCTTGCTGTTGCGCGAAGCTCCAAAAAGAGGTTCGGGCTATGCATACGGTACAACAGGTGCGATCGAAGCGAGCGGCAGCATAAGTGACGCGACAAACGCTGCACTATCCTACCGCATCCACCGCCATTGGCAAAAAAAAAAAAAAAAACACCTTCGCGAGAAACTTAAGTTCATGAGGAAAAAAGACAAACAGGGAGGAGGTATATACGCAGACCCGAACACCCCTTACCCAACTTCCCGGGTTGCATTCTTTATCCAACATGCTCACTTCATCGAAACAACCCGCGTAGGCTACAGCTAACTGCAACAAGAACGAAAAAAAAAGCGTTCAGACTCTGTCGAGGATCTTGATGTACTTGTCGAGTCGGTGGTGCGAGAGCATGCTCTTGGTAAGCATGATGTCGTGGAGCTGCCAGAGCATGTCCTCCTTGACGTTGCCCCGCATCACCCGCTTCAGCGTCGCTCCGTTCTTGAGCCGCCTGGGCTTGGCGAACCACACCCGACCAGGCACTGTCAGCCGGGCGTCGTCCTCCCCCAGCGTCGTGGCCTGTGTGCCCCAAGATCAACACACACAAGGAGAGCAAAAAGTACGGACTACTTTTCAAGATGTCGCGGAACGCTATGCATACGACACGGGCACCGTAGGTTGCACACGATAGCACACCCCCTAGCCGAGTTTTGACTCCTCCCCTGGCGCAGTGGCGTGTGTGCCCCAGATACAACGAGAGATAGAACATACAACGAGAGATAGAACGTACGGATTTATTTTCACGATGTTGTGCAACGCTGCGCAGGATAACACACCCCCTAGCCGAGTTTTGCGTCCTCCCCTAACAGCGCCGCCGCCTGTGCCCCAGATACACACGAAGAGAGCATGTTTACAGTGTTTAAGAGGTTGTGCGATGCTACCATACGGATATACCACACCCGCTAGCCGAGTCTCAAAGGTCAAATATTATTCTCCACGAACAAAAACATTTTTTTTCAATCGAATGAAGGTTCTCTACGAGGCGATGGTTCCCGACATCGCCATTGTCGGCACCGTGACAGTTATCCTTGCAGGGTATTCGAGGTCCGAAAACCGGTCTAGGGGTGTGTGGTATCTTAAGCAACCTACGGTATCCTTGGCAAAGGCCTGTAGACGTTTTCAACCTTGCATCCGCCGTGGCTCGGTCTGTGGTCGCAAAAAACTCTTGCGCCCCTCCGGCGCGACATCAACTTCATCCGGTGGTACTGGCGTCCGTCGACACCTTAGCCTGCTATTAGAGCGCGTTGGGCGCCACACCAAAAAAGCACAACTGCCACCAACGGCTTGCGGGACTAAGATTTCAGCACGTGTGTACAATTACAGTCGCTACAGGGGGTTCATATGGGCGGACCAAGCCCTTGCCTGCCAGAGGAGACGTGTACAGACAGACGTCCCTCCAAGGTGGGGCTGTTTTCGCCATGAATCGAGTTTGCAAATGCCGCCAAATATGCGGTCGTTCAGGGGATGACACCCATGTTTCAGAAAAATAAATCTCCCAGTTCCAGTGGTACATACCCTCGGAGCGAAAAAACTCCGCTCATGCATGAAAAAAAAAAAAGAGAAGACAGCAACAACCACAGCCCCCTCGCAGCGCAACCGATTCCCACCTGCCGGACCCCCTGCATCGCCACCCCTGCCACGTCCGTGAAGAGGCTCGTGCTGAACGCCACTCCCTGCGATAGCAAACCCTTCCCCTTCGGCATCACCTGGACGGGAATGACAGTAGCAGCACCAGGGGACCACAAGGACAGAGAGCGGGTACGAACGAACAAATAGATGAGCGGGCGGTGCACAGGTTTTATGACCCAACGGTTGCTCACCCTCACGAACGTGGACTGTCGCTCGAGCCAATCAGAAACGGCTACCGGGCGCGCACGCGGTAAGTATACGAGCCAAAATACGAACCGGCGACCCGAAAAATTCAATTGGGGGGGGGGGGCACCGCAAGGATAACTCACCGTCCCGCCGCCGCGCCCTTGAATACGAAAAATGCGAAACAATATGTGGGGCCATCCCTCGATTAACACTCAAGTGCTGGAGGCGATTCATGCGAGGAACGGGAAAAACGGTTTCTCGGTCTTGATCGAGATGCGTGGTAAATGGCCGGCACCTGAAAACCCCGAAACTCAGAAAATGATTCGTCAGTCTCTTGCCCTCCCTGACCCCCCCCCCGCCCCCCAGGGCACCACACCCGCGCGCGGATTTCTCCAACGCAAAGGTTCCACCAACAACAACCCCCCCCCCCCCCAACCACTCGCCTGCAGCAACCTGCGCTTGAGCCGCCGCAGGGACTCGTGGCTGGTCCTGGGGACCATGTCGTCCCCCAGCACGAACGACGTCACGAAGGGGAGACGCAGATTCTGCGACAGGCACGGGGGGCACCCTAGGGTCACACACGTCACCCCGTCCCGACGGATGCCGACCCACGGTTCTGCCCCGTCGACCCGTACCGCGCCGCCGCCGCCGCCCTCCTCGCTCGACTCCTCGTCCGAGGAAGAAGCCGGCGACCTTCCGCCGCCGCCTGCGCTTCGCCGATCTCTGGAGCTCTCCCCTCCCGAACCTGCACCGTTCCTCTGCCCCGCTGATGCTGACCCCGCTGCTGCGCCTCCTCCTCCTCCTCCTCCTCCTCCCTTCCCGGATGGCTCCACGTCGATCGCGCCGTCCAGCAGGCCCGCCAGGCAGGCCGCCACGGCTCCCCCGAACGAGTGCCCCGCGCAGTGGACGCGGTAGCCTTCGAATGCTCCCCCCGGCTCGACCGACGCCTTGATGAAAGGCCCGGCCCACTCCAAGATGTCGCACGCGCACTGGCGGGAGAGAGGGGGGCACACCCGCAGGGGGAGGGGGAGGGGGGTTGATTCATCGCAGCTTGCGTGAGTCCTTCTACCATTTAACACGCGTTCCTCTTGGGATGGGGACAGGCGGAAATAGGGGTGTCGATAAATGAAGTCGCAGAGGTTGTTGAAGAAGGGGCAGGTTTCGGTGAGACTGGGGGCTCCGAGTCCCTGTTCTTCAAGTTCCACAGAAGAGTCGCCCGCCTGCGGTGAAAAAACTGGCTACATTAAACCCCTTGCGGAGATGACCGGTCGCGTGCCCCGACATGTACGAAGCTCTTACAGAACACGTTCGCTCCCCCCGACTTCGACCCCCCCCCCCCCCCCCACTCGCTCGTCTCGCAACCCAAACAAAGCATCGACCAATACACGCGGCGGAGGGGCACCAAAAAAAGGTGTACCTGAAACGCCACCCTGTTCACGTACGCCGTCTCGCGCATGAGTCCGTGGGACGCGAGCTGCACCACCGCGGGCTCCTCGAACAGACTCTCGAGGAGGGCTTCTCCCGTGAGCGAGTCGCCCACCGCCACCACCAGCCGCCCCTCCCCTTCCTCCCCGCCCCGCTCGTCCAGCATCAGGAAACACCGCACCTCGCACCCGGCAACGTTGACCACGAATGCCTCCAGCGGTTCTCCTCCGGCTGCTGCCGCCACGCCCGCCGCGGCGGCGCCGGCGACCCCTCCTTCTTTACTTCTTGCCCGTGTCTTCTTCTTCTTCTTCTTCTTCCTCTGGCCGCTGCCGTCGCCGCCACCGCTAACGCCTGGACCTTCTGCTGCTGCGGAAGAAGAGGAGGAACCTGTCGCAGAACCGCCACCAGCGGAAGCGCTGGCGGCGGCTCGTCGTCTCCTCGCCGCCGTCTCATCTAGTCTTGGGCTCGATTTCTCTCGCGGGCGGCGTGGAGGAGAGACTCTCGTAGGCCCGTTTGCCGCACCACCGTCCTTTTCCCCCTGGGTGCCGGCGGCAACGGTAGAGTTGGCGCTGCTATCCTCCTCCGACGGTGGCGGCGGCGGCGGCGGCGGCGGCGGCGGGTCGGGCAGAAATCGTAGCCCCGCATCCTTCATGTACTGCGCCGCGCGGCTGGGGTCCGACTGCGACGCGATCTCGGCCGCCTCGGCGGAGTTCAGGGCGCGTTCCACCTCGATCAGGAGCCTCACCAGCTTGTTCGCCTTCTTCACGCTCGACGCGCTCTCGTACAGCTCCGCCTGTCCCGTTAGCTGTGCGCATTTTGACAGCAGCAGTTACGGCGTGCGCCCACACACACACGTACCGCGTTGTTTTTTGGTGTGCACGTGCGAATCGAGGCCGTGAAATAGGCTAAGGGTGTCTACTGACGTCACAGCGTCGACAAGGACAGAAGCGTCTCCAAACAGTGCTTTCAAGATTCGAGTCTGCGTGCGTATGGGTCGATAAGAGCACCATTCGCGACGCTCTCTTGATGCGACCATCATAGGGCGTGGCAAGACAGGGCGACTTCTCGACAAAGCGCGTATACAACGCGCTGGTCCGTCCCCCGCTGTTCCCCCTAAAACACGCAATCGGGGTCACCTTTTGTAAGGCTGGTCAAATTGTCTGTGTACTCTGTAGCATAGGACCAATCCAACCGCTTGTGCTTCCTGCAAATCATGATGGGCGTGAGTGCTGCTGTGCTACAGTCGCTGCCCGAGCGATTGTGAAGCGCCCATCCTCCGCTCAGTTCATCTGCGACTGACCGCCCCCGCCTGTCCATTGGTGTTCCTCCTTCCATTTGTTCAATTTCCTGTGTCACTCCCCCCACCCGGACTACCGTAGGGTGCGTAAGATATCACCCCCCCTGCATCTATTTATAAACCCGGATTTCTCTGCAGCACAAGGGCTGACTGAGCTGAAAATGGTGGAGCTCGGACCTTCACGCCGAGAGCTTTCCAATAACGAACAAACTGATGTTGGGCATCCTCCGCGTCGCGGAGTAATCGAGCTTTGAAAATCGGTCCAGGGGGTGGTGGTATCGTAGCCTTATATAGGTATATACATACGCCGGTCGCCCCGGTGGTCTAGTTGGTAGCCTCGTAACCTTCTAGAGGTCAGGTCAGGGGTTCGAATCCCGGCGTAGGCGAGCTTTTCTCGCAAAGTGAGTTTTTCTCTCGCTTCCGCTCCTGGCCAAGTGGATAGCGCTAGTTCGTGTGTACACAGAGGGAAGAGAGTGCTGAACTCTTCTCGCATTAAAAATTGAAGGCGAAGTACCGCAGGAGGGGGAGGGTAGAGAGAGGCCCTTCTGTGTGACCACGGGTTGGAATAAACGGCACTTGTGCTGTGAGCGCTGATTTGAAGTGAAGAACAAAAAAAAAAAAAAAAAATAGGTATGCAACCTTTTACGGTATCCTTGCTTTACCTTTTCGATGTCTGCGGTGCTCCCGGTCTCCTTGATCTTTCCCTTGAGCTCGTACGCCATGCCGTCGAACGACTTGACGTAGCTCTGGGAGTTGCTCAGAACGGTGATGCCTCTAGAAATAGCCTTGGGTTCTGCTGACCTCATGTCGGGGGATGCCTGAGAAGAGGCATGATGCGAAGGACGTGGAACATCCTCTCAATCATAATTCTGAGCAATTTCAGTCGAAACGCTAGTACAACTGGCCTGTGCTCGTGGACGAAAATAAGCTAGATCGACGTCAGGCGCTTACCGAACGTGCCTACATGCTTAGGGGTGTGCAGGTTAAGGTGAGAGAGGAACGTACAGCCCTCTCGGCACACGTGGAACAAGCCCGTTTGGCTTTTCAATGTTCAAACTCGGTCTCCCTACATTTTACTCATGATGTCTGATCAGCTTTCCACCAAAGGGAGGGAGGGATTGACCCTCAAGACTTCCGCTCACTCTTCATTTGCACTATTGCAGTGCCCAGACGGCAGCATGCCTGGACGAGAGCAGCCTCCCGCAAAGCCTGTCTGTGTCGTTGAAGGTCTCTCTGCATGCCTGTGGTATCATAGAGTCGAGCATGATAACGTGTGATCTCACCTCCCGCAGCCAGGCTGCGAGATTCCTGAAGGGATGCTCCGCTTGCTGAAGCGAAGGGTCCGCCGCCAACGCCACCCAGCAAGCTAAGGTACCACCAAAAGCCACCAGCCAGCATCGTAACCTTCGACGCTGCAGCATGGCGTTGCGAGACAGCAACAGAGACAGCTCAGAGAAGAGGCTGGAGGGAACGAGGGAGAGCAGAGACTGTAGACTTGGGGGACGCGCGAACTAGAGAAGGGGGAAGGGTGAGGTACCTACACGTTCTATGCATCCCAGGCGCGGCTGCCCCGGTAGCTTGCTGCATTGCTGTGCAGGAAGAACACAGAGCACAGCAGAGCACAGCTGTCGTGTGCAGTAAACGCTGCTGCTTCTTCGGCCGCCACGGCTTCTTCTATAGTGCTAACGAAGCGAAGCACTGCTGTTGCTAGTGCCCCATGAATCTGTTCGAGGACTGGGATGCAACAGAAAAGCGGACTCAGCAGCAACAGCAACAGCCGTCCCGCTACGCTGGCACAGCAACAAGGCAGCAGCAGCAGCAGCATGCACAGCAGCGGCAACGAACACAGCCGCCGGTGTCGCCAACGTCCCGAGATGTCGGGAGCAACCCGCCGCAAAGAAGGGCACAAGGAGGAGGGCGAGCCCTAGACTCCTCCGCCTGGGGGCAAGGACAAGCGGCGGCTTCGTCGGTGGCAACACGATCATCCGCAACAGCAGTAGCAGCAGCAGCAGCAGCGGGAGCTGGTTCTTCAACGAGCAAGATGAGCCCCTTCGGAGGAGGAGGAGGGGGCTCCTCCGCTCTGAATCCTTTCGCGCCGCCAAACCCGTTCGCGCCATCGTCTTCGAACCCCTTCGGATCTGGCTCTACGTCAAACCCGTTTGGCTCTGGCGCATCAGGACCTGATGGGACAAATGTGAGCAAGCCCAAAGAGAAATGCCAGAGGCTGCTGCTGCTACTGCTGTCTCTGTTGCGGCTCGGAAACCCCCTGTGACAAAGGCAGCGGTGCCGAGCACTCTCCGTAGAGTCAGTTAGCTTGCGAGACGACGTTGTATTTACGTATTTACGTACCAGCCAATAGCGCAACACGAGGCCGCAGCAGTAGTAGGGATGGATGAGCTCACAAAATGCGGCGGAATGCGGAACGAATGTATGACGTCCACCGTAGGTTGCGTATGATATCACACCCCCTGGACCCATTTTCAAAGCTCGATTACTCGGCAGGAAGAGCAGGGGCGGCACCGAGAATGGCGGCATTGGAAGAATCTCGTTCGAGGGCATTCCGAAAACGTGCCATTTGATTTCGGTGTCCTCGTCGTCGATGAAGCAATCGAGCTTTGAAAATCGGGTCAGGGAGTGTGATATCTCATGTCATGCAAGCTACTGCTCATACAAGTACTTGATACGAACAGCAGCAGCAATGGCTACGATATAATACGAATGAAAGCTCCGCCGGTCCAGCTGTACCCTCGGTACCCTTCCGTCCCTTATAGACTGCAGGCTTTGAAGCTCTTCTGAGTGAAAATCTCGCGAAGTAGTGGAAAGCGGATAGTCTGCAAGTAGTCATGTGATGAGTGCACACGACAGAGAGGAAAGGAATTCAACGCTTCTCGCCTCGAAAATGTGGGGAATTGAAGGCAAGCAGAAACGGAAACGCACACAAACACAAACACACGGCTACCCTTAGCAACGGGCAGCTCATATTTTGGGACGAGCTTTCCAACCACCACTGCTGTCGCCGACCGTTTTCTCTACACCCCCCCCCCCCCCCACCTTCCTGTTCACACAAACACGGCCTGTCCATCCCAATCGCGCACGCTCCCCCACTCACACAACTGCGGCCCGTCTATCCCAATCGACGGCGCGCAATCGATCCGGAACCGGCCCCGCCGCTGCTACCGGTGACGACCACGCAGCTCGTTCCGGCGGCGAAACGAGGTGGAGAGCCGCCGATATTTTCCCTGCAGCGCCTGGACGCCCTCAAGGCCTCCTCCTCTTCCTCCTCTGCGTCGTGGTCCATCCTGGCGGTGGCCGTCGGCAACGGCACTCTGGCCATGGCCACGTCGGACTGCTGCATCATCCGCTGGAACGCCAGCACGCCACACGGCGGATCTGAGGGTGAGAGACGGCACGAGCTGAAACGGTGGGGGAGAGGGGGCGGGTGTACTCGTAGCCGTGCATGCCGTAGTCGTTAGACCATCGACCTCGCATCCCTACATAAAAAGCCGGGACGAACCACGCCGGGTTCTCGCCGGACGAGGATCGTGGCGGCAGGGGGGGAGGACGCTTTCCGCGTTTTGAGGTTTGTGTTTACTGTCGGCGTGTCGTGGAGGGCATTGGAGTGGAGGAACGCGATTTTTTTACTCGGGATACCCGTAAGAGGCGGAGAGATGGCGCCCCCCCCTAGGCCGACTTTCATGGCTCGATTCGGTTGCTCCACAACCAGGGGTATGTGTGAAGAAAGAGCCCCGATATGTCTACGGAAAGCCCTCGACGGACGGATGTTTGCGAAACGACATTGTTTGGTGTTGCCATAAGCTTGGTTTTGTCGACGGATGTTTGCGAAACCATATTTTTTGGCTTTGCCATAAGCGTGGTTGTCGAGCAATCGAGCTTTGAAGATTGGGCTAGGGTGGGGTGCCATCTCTTGCGCCTCTTACAGTACTGGGGAAACCGAGTGCGCGAATGATGATTTTTCCGAAGAAGGGTTTTGCGGAGTTGGAGCACGTTTCGAGGTACAGCACTCCCAACTCGTCGTCGTCGATGCCCTGGCTCGCTGCAAGGTAGGCGCTACCGACTCTTTTACCGACATGAAATTCATTGTTACCATGACTAATAAAGAGAATTTTCAACCACAGGCATCCCAATACGATCGGAACTCTCATGAGGTTTGTATTTACGAATTACAGAAGAACTGGGCGAGGGTGGCCAAAACCCACGCGCGGAGCCCCCATTACCCCCCCCCCCCACGCTGGGGTACCTATACATGCACCCAGGAACCATGCGCTAATGCAACTCTCAATTGTTCTCTTGCCTTTTGTTATGTTTTCCTCACAGAGATTGAGATCTCGAAGCGGCAGGAGGACACCATCCACAAGCTCTTCCTGGACCCCACCGGCAACCACCTGCTGGCCTGCCTCCACGGGGGGGAGACGTACTACCTCCACTCGGCCACGACGAGGCCGAAGCGGCTGCTCAAGTGGTCAGGGGTGGTCGTAGAGGCCGTCGCCTTCGACTCGCAGCGGTGCACGGAGGTGAGGCAGGCAGGCGGCTTGCCGCTCGCTCGCCGCGGGTTTTCATGAGAAGTGGTGGCGGTGGTGGTGGGGATGATGGTGGAAACTTGTTGTGGTGCCCGGCCGTAAGCAGACCTGCACATCCCCACATGGACTATGTTTAGACGGACGTGAGGTAGATTGCTTGGGTCATACGCTTAAACACGCGCCACTAGAGCGGGGGGGGGGGAGGAGGAATAGTGCGTGTGCGTGGCCGGTATCACGTACAAGCCCGGTTGACGGGCCTTTGGCATATGGTAAGGGCCGTGGGCACGTGTATTGGGGAGATGTAAGTGTTTATTGGCTCGAGGAGGTTTCCAAGGAGTATGGTACAAACGCGCTCGCCGTCCACGTTAGGGTTTGCTGACGATGGCGGTGGCGATGCTCTGAAGGAGAAGCTAACTGCTGTCCTATTTAGTTGAGCAGAATTGGGCACTCCCCGAGGCGAGAGGGTGGTCGCGTGTTGCTCGAATTTGCTCGCTCGGTCTTGTTCTGTCTCTATCCCTCACTCCGCTTCTGTCTCGCTCTCCTCCCGCTCTTGGCCCCTCGATATCCACCGCGTATGAAATCGACGCCTCTTCAAACCCCCCGCACGCAAGTACTAGACTGTCCTTGCATATACACTAGCCCGCTCTCAACGCATGGTGTCATCCCTCCTCTCTTATTGAGGCCACACCTCGCGCGACCCGAATCACGCCACGTGACACGAACCACTCCCGCCGCCCCGCCCCCGCCCCAACGCACACAAGGGTTCGACGAAGGGCATCGTTGTCGGCACGAGATCGGGCGACCTGTACGAATCCTCCCTCGAGAGCAACGGCAAGGAACGGCCCTTCGGCCTTGTCTTCAGCCTCAGCCGCCGACAATCGAGGGGGGGTGACGGGTCCGACGGCGGCGGCGGTCCCGGCGGTCGCTCTCGGACCGACAGCAGCGGTCTCGGAGGAGGAGGAGGAGGAGGAGGCAGCGGGGGCGGGGCAGCGGGGGGGGCGGGGGGAAGAGTAGGGGGCGACGCCGTTTTCGTTGCGGCGCTGTACCTGGAGTCTATGAGCTCGGCGGTGCACGGGGAGACGAGGGTCT